AATAATGCATAATTTCATTTGATAAACACGTTTAGATTGAATGGTAATTTATAATCAGTCACAAAAACGTCGAATCTGAATCACTTGAAAAAAACACGGGGGTGCTTAACTTTTTACCAGGTGTATAGACAATTTTTAAACCATGTGACCAGTACAAGGCTTTATGTTTTATAGTATTTATTATTTCACTGTTTTAACAATGGAAATTGTACAAGCTACTTGGAGATCTAAAATTTTGAATATGGTTAATATTTCACAGGTATGCATCCCAAGTTAGTTTTCTCAAACTCTTACTACATTCATAAGATAGACTTAGAAAACCACAGCACTGAACTTGTGGCTCAGAACCTGACTAATGCTGTAGCTCTGGACTTTGATTGGTCAGAAAAATGCCTTTATTGGTCTGAGGTTACCACCACTGGAAGTAGCATTAACAGAATGTGTAACAACCAAACTGTACCACAAGTAGGAATTTTTGTTTTTATTTGTTGTTGTAATTATTTTGTAGATATTTTGTGTACTGTGATTGTACAGAACAAGTGTCTATTGTTGTGAAGGTTCTGTCAGTGGGAGCAATATTAACAGTTCCCTTTAGTCTGTACCATGGTTAGGAACTTCTTTTTTTATATTAAAAAGTATAAATACTCTTTAGCTGTTTTTTCTGCTTTCATTAGATGCAACAGTGCCTTTTATATTGATGTTTAGTAATAAAAATATTACTTATACAAATAAGTGACAGATTACACAGTTCAATTCAAAACAAAAACACTGCATTATAAATTTTTTTAAAATGTGGGTTCCAAAATTAGATTATTGTATTATTATAATTCTTTGATGTTTTTCTTATTACTTGTATTATAAATTGTTCTCTTTCATTTAAATTGAATCATGAAGTCTATACGGCAATTGTTAAAAGGAACTTTTTCATGACAGGTTTTACATAAGGTGACAGTTCAGAGTCCAGATGGACTAGCAGTGGACTGGGTTGGAAGAAATTTATACTGGTGTGATAAAGGCAAGGACACCATTGAAGTATCAAGACTAGATGGCAAATTCCGTAAAATCTTGATTCGTAAGCACCTTGAAGAACCTCGTGCCATAGTTTTGGATCCTTATGCAGGGTAATTATCTTCGGTTGAAAATACTAATCTAGAAACAAATGTTAGATTACTATTTCTAATGTGATTTAATAGAACTTCAAGTGCCAAAGCAAAACAGAGCCGTATTTTTAAATTTTTCTAAAATAGCTAATTTTTTGTTAACATTTCATTACAAGAATACCAGTGAAAATACAACAGTTGATTCTGATGTCAAATCTGATCATTGTGTTGATGGGAATACAAGCAATAATCTGTTTTAACTGGTTTATTTAGAACAGGCAGTTTCAAACATAAAATGTTTTATTAAAAATACTAGTATAAAAGCCTGTCAAAAATGATGGAAACCAATGTTGAATGATTAACCTACTCTTCATTTATTTCATCAGTCTTGATGTGATTGTTTAATCAACACACTTTTAGTGTAGACTATGCAGAACAATGAAATGTTATTGTGAACAAAAGTGCGTGTCCACTCTGAAAAGAGACTTAAATATCATTCTTGAGCATTTTTACTGTATTCTAGGTCGGAAAGTAGAAAACATAGTGCGGACATTCCAACCAAAATATTCATCTCTTTCGAATGTACAATGGATAAAAGATATTTAGTAGTAATAAATGTATATTTTTCTTTATGTTATCATCAAAACATAATTAGTAAATCAAATTGTAACATTAACCCTACAACAATGACACCATTTTTAAAAATTTCTATGCATGTTACCAAGTTACAATAAAAAATTTAATTAAACCACTTTACTGTCAATTTATTTTAATGAAATTATTTTTATCAAATATGTTATAATTCAAAGTTTTACAGTATTTCAGTCTTTATTCCTCAAATTAAAAAAAAACCTCTAAAACAATAATAAAATATTTTAATTTGTTGTCCCATGATGATCTCTTGATTCAATATGTCTGAACTTTAGAACTGATATACAAGAAACAAGTACATGTAATACAGACGTGTTCTTGCAGACATTCAAAGTACACACATATAGCTTGTTTACGAGTAACTCGATTCAAATTCCAAAAATTTCTGTAGGACAAAACATAAAAATTCTTCAGTTACAGATAAGCCATTCCCACTTCCAAAGTAGAAACTGTGTTGCTAAGCAACAGTTTTAAGTTTAATAGCATGTTTATAAACAGTAGAAAAAGCAAATTTATCATTACTAATACAAATAAGTGACAGATTACACAGTTCAATTCAGAACACAACCACTGCATTATAAATTTTTAAAAAAATGTGGGTTCCAAAATTAGTCCACTGTTGAGAGTGGGGTCCTGAGTACTTGGCTATTTTTTCTCACATTATACATATTAGTGATAGACAGTTAAATTGCATTTTGGTTTTACTTTTATATTTTAGTTAATTGTGTATTATTTGTTTTAAAATTCATATTTGATATGGTTCATGATTTTATAATTTTATGCTTTGTCTTGCTCAAAGTTAGGGAATGCAAACAATATTTTGCTGGAGGCTAAACTGTCTGTGCCATTGTGCTTTATATCACTTGCAGGCATCTGTTGATGTGTGTCAACATAAATAATCAAAGATAAAAAACAGGAAAGGAAAATAAAACATTAAAAATAAACTAGAAGTGAAAAGTTAAATACATGAAATTATGCATATGACCCAAAGAAGATGTTTAAGATTATTCATTGAAGAGTTAAAAGATATGTATATATTTCCATTTCTTAATTTTTAACATTTCATTGCACTGTATATTGATGATAATAGATAGTTAGTGATGTAGAGAAAATAGCAAATAAAATGTAAACATTTACCTTAAAGAAACTTTTGATATTCATTTAGAAAGTTCTAAAGATTATGAAAGTGAAATGTGAATATTGTAAGATAAAAAAAAAAAAAAATTATTTTTGATACTTAACATGAAAATCACCTTGCAGTTGAACTATTCAGAGGCCAAGTACAAGTAATTACGTTGAATAACGAATTTTTTGGTAGAACTAGTAGAAAAAATCAAAATTAAATATTTTTCTCAAATTACATACTTTTATGAAAGTTCTTGTCAAGTTTTAAACATTTTATCCACAGGTTTTATTATTGGAAATAATTTAAAGAGAGCTAAATAATATACTTACTTTTGAAGTACATCATTGTTATCAGGTTAAATAAAGTTTAAGTTTTTAATGTTATAAGGAAGTATTTAAAAAACTTCCCATTCTTCCCTAGTATGAGAATTGTAACATTTTCTCTCTAGGTTTTCCCTCTTCTCTAATTTATTTACCACCCCTCTGAGAAGTTTGGAATTTAATGTAATATTACTCGTAAATATTACTCGGGACAAAACATAATATGTAGAGCCTTTAACCTTAATTGTTTATGGAGCCATAAACTGGAAAATCAGAACCACTTGCCATGTCCACCTGTCACATCTTCTTTTCACAAATTACCAATAGTTCTCTATGATGTTTTATACTGTATTATTTATAACAAATAGAAAGCCAGAGTTATAATTGATCAAATGACATGTTTGTTATTTCCGTACAGAGAATTGTCTACTTTGCTTTCAGTTCAAACTTTATTCCCATGGGAAACACATTGAAGAGCTTAGCTGAATTGTTAATGGCTCATATTGCTCAGTTAGAATGCCAGAAAAATTGTTATAGTTATAAGACATTGTCTGCTTTTTATATGTTATTATTCTGTGTTCTTAGGTATATTATTTAATGAAATAAGAAATTATTTAGTGTATTAGTTTAAAAAAGTAGGCTTAGGTTTCATTGAAAGTCAAAAGCAAAAAAGACCCAGGTAAGTACTATATTTCTTGTTTTTCATGCATATTATTTATTTATTATTATAAAAGTAACTAAAATATAAAAATTGGAAACTTGTTAGGTTTGATCAGGTAAGGTAAAAATAATAATAATAATAATTCTTCATAAGATATGCTTGCGAGCAGCTCATGCATTATGTCATTTGGTGCAGTAACATAAGCTACACATTTGCTGAGTGATGTGCAACTTGTATGACAGAATTATTAGTTAGACACAAGTCAAAGGGCAATAAAACTATAACATTTAAGTAAAAATAAAGGTATACTGTTATGGGCTCTAAGCTATTTAGGATAAACAACTTTACTTTCCTCTTATGATTTGAAGTCATTCCATAAAGTAAAAAAGGATACTTTAAATTTATTTCATATTTTTTTTATGGTGGTTATGAGGCTCGTCAAATTGATCAAATGTGTATGGAGTTAGGGTTGAGAAAATAACAGCTGAAATATAAAGTTTTACTGAAAAAAGAAACGTTTGGTATTTGTTTAAGAGGATTTAGCAATTACACAAATGAAATTTGACAATATTCAAATGAAGAAAAGTATTTTTAATCTTAACATGAAAATCACTTCGCACTTCGAGCAGTCAATACTTTGACTCCATATATTCACAAAGAAATTTTTAATAAAAATACTTCGTTAAAAATTCTGATTTTCTTGTCCACAAAAGACTTGTAATGTTTACTGAAAGCTTATGGAATTTCATGAAGATACACAAAACATATTAAAAGCTATAGTATTCAGTGCATTACCATTGTGATTTTGATTGTAGCTAGAATGAACATTATTCAGTGAAAGTGAAGGTGTTAAATTCTCATTTTCTATGCTCTTATAAATAAATGAAAGAAACATTTTAAGATTTTTTCTTGTTGTATTTACATTTGAAAGATTTGATACAAACCTAATGTATGTTTCTTTGTAATGTAACATAAAATGGTTGATACAGAAACTATGGATTTATAAATTAAGCTTTTAAAATCAAACAACTGAATAACTAACTATTTATTTTTCAAGACTTTACTGATTAAATAAATAAGAAATTGTTTACAATAAAATTGATTTTTTTGTTAAAATGCTAGTATTGATGAAAGGACTATAGTTATTTGTTTATACTCTAGCCCTAATTCTGTAGAATGTCAATACTTTGGGTTGTGTTTTAGATATATGTATTGGACAGACTGGGGTGAGAAGCCCTATATTGGGAAGGCTGGCATGGATGGTAGTAACCCTGAAATCCTGGTGAACGAATCACTAAAATGGCCTAATGGACTGACTATGGATTATGAGACCAAGGAAATATTTTGGGCTGATGCAAGTGAGGACTACATTGCTGTTGCAGACTCAGAAGGAAAAAATAAAAGAATAGTAGCAAAAAGGAGTGAGTAAACTATGTTGTGTTTCATAACATCACGTCCTGTAAGTACTTTGGGGTGCATGGTCCTGTTATAACATGAAAGGATTTTTGTCCAGTTTTGATTTTTATAAAAACGTTTTGTTGAAGAATAATATTACCATTGTAAGTCATTATGGTTACTGCCATGTCCTGCAAAAACTTTGGGTGTACAGGTGCCTGCTATCACTTAGAAGGAGAGTTTCCAACTTTGTTTTGTGTAAATACTTTTTCATCAAAGAATGATGATAATATTGTTATTCATTATGATTACTTCAAGATTTTGTTTCTTAAGAACATTTTTTGTCAAAGGATAATATTAAGCACATATGTATGAGTAGGATTAAATTGTGCATGTCACAACCTTTTTTCAGAGCTACATTCAAAATTTAATTAAACTACTTTATTGTGAATTTATATCAGTAAATGTGGCATGACAAAGTAGTGTATAATTCAAATTTATGTTATCTAGGTCTTGATTTCTTAATTTCAAAGTTCAATATTTAAATAAACTGTCATCAATTCTCTGTATCACATAACACTTCTTTGCTCCAAGTTGTCCATTTTAGATATTCTTTCTACCCCATACACGAACTTCTGAGTTTAACACAAAATACACACTTATAGTATAGATACTGCTAAGATGTAATCTAAATTTATAACTTCCTGAATGTAAAATCACATGAAGCTTTCTTTTATACTAATTTTTTCTGATGATAGTAACAATGTGGTAGATATTTTTATTTAATAAATGGAATTTGTCCGTATTTAATAAGAAAGTGCTTGTTTTAAGATGATAGTACCAGTTTGTCACATGTAGGTATTGTAATTTAATAAAAGGAATCAGTCCATCTTCACTCTGTAAACACGTCTTCATATTATAGTACCATTTTTATACTTTATTTTTTATTATTTGATGAATGGGACTTATATAGTGTATATATGTAATTTAAAAATAGAAAAAAAAGAGAGAAAGAGAAAAAAGAGATTACATCGTAAGGAAGAATAGTGTGAATTTAACACAGCATATCCAAACCTTAGGTGAAAAATAATTATTTGTAATATAACATAGAAAATGAAAGAAAATAGAAACAACACAGATACAAAACAGACATGTACCACCTGGGCACACACCATAAGGTGGGTAGTTATGCAGTGTGCCCTGGTTTTTGAGGTACTGGCAGAAGTAAGACACATTTATCCAGTTTAACCTCAGTTTTGCAGTACCTCAAAAACCAGGGTACATTGTATAACTACCCACTTTGGTGTGTACCCAGGTGGTACATGTCTGTTTGGTAGCTGTGTTGTTCCTATTTTCTTATTTCACTTTCACTATGTATGTAATATTACAATTATATATATATATATATATATAGTTGGTTGGTAGTTCTGTGCATAATATCAAACAAACAATTGTCCTGTTTTTGGTTTGTGTGTGTGGTTGCTTGTCTTGCCATTAACTTGTAATACATAGCAACCTACATCACTGGACCAAAATTATATTTCACATCATGAATTTTTAAGTGTTATGGGTAACAAACAATATTTGATATTAAATTCCATAATATTTTTTAAATTACACTCCTCTTTTATAAGAATTTTTTGAGTACATATGTGATGGAGTAGCAATGATTTTCATTGGCATTTCCTGTAAATGTTTTTTATAATGTCATAAAAACTTGATAAAAAACTTGCTCTTCTTTTGACATTTTGCTTAAATACTTATGATATTTGTTATACTATTTGGTAGGCACCCTAGGTACAGCCCATCATATCTTTGCTCTTTCTGTGTTTGAGGATTATCTTTATTGGACTGACTGGGAAACCAAAAGTGTTGAGAGTTGCCACAAATACTCGTGTCAGAAAACCAGAACTGTATCAGTTCTAGCTCATCGACCAATGGACATTCAAGTATTTCACCCTCTGCGACAGAAACCAAGTATGTATGAATTATAGTAAATAACAAATTACTTCAACATCCTATTTGAAATAAAATGTAAATAATTTTTCTGTGGTTACTGTAAAAACTTAATCACTTTTAGCTATGTATCACATTATTTTGGAGTACATTGTACAACACTTCTAGTGGTTGCTGTTTGAAATCTTGCCATGAACACTGTAATAGTTGTTGCAGTAGATTGTAAAACACTTTGGTAGTTGCTATATAGTCATATATCATTGTTATTAGTTAAAAGTAAATCATAATTTTGTGTGAAGTCTTGTCATTATCCTTTCATTGATGATAGAATAGGATGAAAGCTTTTATTGGCTGCTGTATAAATGCTAGTTTATCATTTTGAGAGTATAATATACATCATACATAACTCAAGGCAAACACTGTTTAATTAATAACAAAACATGGACTGACTTACAAATTAGGGCAATTACATTGTATGTTAAGATAAAGAAATAGTAATAAGTTGTGGTAAATTTCTTTTTCTAAAATAGAAATAAGATTAAAAAGTGGTAAATACATTAATGTTAATAAGATAAACATATTTCACATAAACAAATTATACTTCAGTTCTGTAAATGTTACTGTAATATGGAAGACTGTAATAATATTTGTTTTACTCCACAGTTAAAGGACTGAATCCATGTAATAATCATGGAGGCTGTAGCACACTTTGTCTGTTGAAACCTGGTGGTGGAAGTGTTTGTTCTTGTCCAGAAAACTACATTCTACAAGCTGATTCTGTTTCTTGTGAAAGCAATTGTTCCAGGTTAGGATTTTTTTGTGACATAAAGTGAAATAGTATAGTCTATTAACCCTCTCGCTATGTGTAGGTCAAAGTGTGCATTCCATGACTTTTTAGAAAGTTACAATCAAAATTTAATTAAACTATTCTATTATCATTGTAGGCAGGAACGTTGAGAACCAGCACGGGACTCGGGGCAAACATCTTCACTGGGCCCCCTTTCACTTTCTTTTTTTTAACATTTTCAAGAATTTATTAAAAATATCCTAAATTAGAACAGCAACGAGCTCATAAACCAGACAAAATCATAGCAGCAGTCGTTTTTACCACACAATATAAGTGTAAAAACGTTAATAAAGTAACAACAAATATCTATTAAATATATAAAGTAACAAATACATATTAATTATTACTCAAATTATTATTTCAGTCGTTCTTAATGTATCAAGCTTCAGCGGGCCTGATTGTAGGTCTGGCATGTTGTGGTGATTAGAGCACTCTGTCACCACACATGCTCATCCTATATGTTGCCAACTAGGTCTGCCACCCAGATGTAAAAATTCTTGCTTGGCTTATAAAATCACAGTATTTAATTAAATAAAACATTATTTAGTGTGATATTACCATTAATTTAAAAAGTAGGCTTAAGTTTCATCGACAGTTGACTGCAAAAAATGAGGACACAGGTAAGTATCATATTTCTTGTTTTTCATTTATTTATTTATTATTATAAAAGTAACTATAATGTAAAAAATTAGAAACTTAGGTTATATCAAGTAAGATAATAAAAAAAATAATAATTCTTCATGATGTATGCTCGTGAGCAGCTTGTGCATTACTTAATTTAGTATGGTAACTTGAGCTACATGTTCATCAACTGTTTTACTACTTGTGTGATGGGATTATTAGTTAGGCATGGTATAAACAGATGTATACTGTTATGAGCTTTAAGCTATTTAGGATAGGAAATGTTGTTTCCTGTTACAATTTGCAGTCATTCTAGAAAGAAAAAAGGTAATTTAGATTCATTTTGTATTTTTTTATGATGGTTACGAGGTAGAGTATAGAGTTAGGGTAGAGAAAATAACAGATAAAATATAAAGATTTGCTGAAAAAAAAAACGTTTGATATTTATTTAGGAGATGTTATGGAATCTGACAATTTTCAGATGAGTAAAGGTACTTTTGATCTTAATATGAAAATCACTTTGCGCTTGGAAAAGTCAAAATTGTGACTGCATATTTATGGACAAATGTTTAATAAAAATACCAAAATAAAAAAATTGATTTTTTATGTACAAAAGACTGATAATGTTTACTGAAAACTTGCCAGATTTCATGAAGATACACAAAACATATTAAAGGTTAAAGTATGTAAACTGATGTTCACTTTGGGGTCACAAGGTTAGTGTAATCCACTGAGCTCGTAGCAGAAGGGTTAATGAAATAGCAAAAAATATGATATCAAAATATTCTGAGATAATATTTTCATGATGTTTTTCATGTTGTTAGGCTGACATCTAGTTTATCACAGGTAGCTATAATAGGTTTATATTCCTAATATGTATGTTTTTCAGTAATATTTAGCTCTAATGATGTAATAAAGATAATTAAAATAGAGTTGCATTCCAAAGATTAATCTAAAAGTTTGAGGAAGAGGTCTCCCATTTTGAAAAAAAAATTGGAAAATTGTAGTGTACAAAATTCAAAAATTTGGGACAAGTGTTTATTAGGTCAAGTATTTGTAATTTATCCAAATCATTGAAACATTATTGATAAATAATACTAGGCCTGTCTTGCAAGTTTTTGAATGTTAAAAGGAATGAAGAAAGTATTGAAAATCTCTTCTACAATAAATAACAGCTCAGGAACTTACTTTCTCAGTCACATTTCCAACAAAAGTGGTAACAAGAACAAGTTATTTTAGATCAATTTATTGATAATAATTTAAAATATGCTCACTTAGTGCAGGTACGTGCAAATAATACTGTTTTACTTCATTTACTGCTTATTTTGTTTCATAATTAAATCAAGGTAAGCAAAATGTAATGGCCAGGTGGCTAGGGCGTTTGACTTGCAATCTGCGGGTCCCGGATTTGAATCCCCATCCCATTAAACATGCTCGCCCTTTCAGCCATGGGGGGTGTTATAATGTGACGGACAATCCCACTATTTGCTTGTAAAAGAGAAGCCCAAGAGTTGGCTGTGAGTGGTGATAACTAGCTGTCTTCCCTCTAGCCTTCCACTGTTAAATTAAGGACGGCTAATGCAGATAGCTCTTGTGTAGCTTTGCGCGAAATTCAAAACAAACAAACAAGCAAAATGTAAACTATTCTTGTCTGGTTGATTTCTGTTTACCTTGTTGTGTAAAAGCTACTGAAACTGATTGCTACAAGTCTGACATCTTTTATGAAAACATCTGCTTTCTAATAATGCTCTGAACTGTAAGAAAAGCAGTAATTACTGATCACAATTATAACTGAAAAAAAATAAGAATTGTTATAATTATAAATCTGTTGGATGAAGTGTTTCAAACGTGTATGTGGTGAATATGTCAGAACTATTGGTACATCACTGAATACTTGATCCTTCAAGAGTTAAAACATCATTTGATATGTTCAGTCCATGTTAAACTTCAAGAAATCAACTGTGATCTAGACCTTAGCACGTATTTCCTGAGGACATGACATACATAGATATTCTGTATTCTCAAAAATGTACGTACCATACAGATATTGAGATAACTAGTAGTTCTTTTAACTGTAAAACACATTTAAAACTGATTCTATATTTTTTTATGCTTACAGGTATAAACCCCAGCTTCTTCTGTTTTAATACACTAAAGTATTACTGTATAGAATGCTGCTTATTTCTTGGCCTTTGAACTTCAGACCAAATTTTCATTGGTTACTATGATTACAGAAGATTCCAAAAGAATATGGATGATAGTTGACTGGAATTAAAAGTATAATTTTGTTAACGTGACTGGGATTTTTTATTTATTGTTTTCTTTTTTGTCATTGTTAATAATAGAGGGTAAAAAATTTATTAGATTTTTAAAAAATTGTACCGTTTTGTGAGGTTTTAACCTTGATTTGGGTTAAGGAGATTATTGATTGTGGAATGGAACCATTAACCAGCCCCTGCTTATGGTAATGACTGCATTCATATGAAGATTGAACAATGCTTCCATTAACACACATATGTACATCTATGCCCCCCAAAATACCTGTTGGGGTCATAAAAACTTTCTCAAATGTGTACTCGGGACTTTCAGTACTCCGAGTAATGGGATATTTATTTATCATTGTTAGATCTCAAATGATCTGTATCTTGAAAATATTAATGACAATATCACTTCCAGCTACAATACTTACAGGGTACTTATTTAAAATATTGACATCCTCCCCCAGTGGCTCAGTAGTAAGTCTGAAGGTTTATAATGCCCAAAATTAGGTTAGCACTCATTTATGACACATGATCCTTTATAGTGCATAAATCCATGCTTAATTTTTATTTATGAAAATGGTTTCAAAGACCAGTGTTCTTGAAGACTGAACCAACAGTAATTTACTTATTTTTCAATAAATATATTTGTGTATTAACTCGTACTGATTCTTATTTATGAATCTGTTATTTCTGTCTTTAGAAGAATCGGCAAGTTTCATATATGGGCTGCTCTTTCTACTGTCTGATTTTGATGTAATAACCTCCATCAATGAACTACATCTAGAAGTGCAGTAGCATTTACAAATATTGTATAAATCTGTGGTTAGGCTATTCAATACCACACCCCATACACAACATTAAATTTTCCAAGAGAGAAAAAAATTAAAAATGCTTTCACCTTACCTAATGAAAATAAATGAAAGTGTGTGTTGTTATCAGCCCAAATGTATTATCATGTGATATCAAACTACTGTAATGTCAGAGCACAAAATGGTACACGTTACACTCTTGACCCCTAAAGCTGTGTCTTGCATCATTTAGTGCAGGGACTCTTTAACTTTTCCTTTTAGCTCTCAAAATTTTAAAATAAGAAAGGTCTCTCAAATGCTGAAACCTGGAGAAAGCTCTGGTTGAGTACCAAAAGTATCAAAGAATTGTATTTGGGTGCAATTATTAAACACAAGGTTCATAAAGTACAGTTACAAATAGCTGTTAATAGTGAATAACACTATAGTCTGTAATTAAATTTTAATGCTTCTGATATTAGTTTTATTTTTAGAAGATTGCATGAAGTTTAGAACAAAGTTCCTTATTTTGTTATGTTTAATATATGTTTTTGGTAGCTCCCAATTTGTGTGTCCATATACATACAAGTGTATTCCTTCTTGGTGGCGCTGTGATGGGCAAGATGACTGTGGAGACAGGACAGATGAACCTACAGACTGTCCACCCTTTAAATGCATACCTGGACAGTTTCAGTGTAATAACAGCAAATGTATTCAACCTAGGGAACTCTGTGATGGAATCTCTCAGTGTGGTGACAATTCAGATGAAAAAAACTGTGGTAAGTAGAAACACCTTTGAGCAGTGTGTGTGCTTACTTGAATGAAAAAAAAAATTTTTATGTTAATACAACTGAACAATGGAAAAGTTGACTTGAGTTCACAATTAAAGCTATTTTGATACAAATTTACAATTCAACATTAAGTTTTAATTAATCCTTGTAAGTATACTGATACAAATTAACAATAGGACATTATGTTTTTTGTTGGTAATTACAAATGTGTTTATCAAACCGACCTTTTTATTTATTTATATACAATTAAAAGTTTTCATTGAGCAAATGTTCTTTATGTTTTAAATATGAACAAAAGTTTAATGGTTGAATGTGACAGTCCATGTTGTGTTACATAGCAGTCATCTACAATCTAAACTTTTTTTGTTCTGATGTAATAATTTATTGCTGATATGGCACTTAGTCATTAACTGATTATTTTAGTAAGAAGATACAAGTATGGTTATGTACCTGATAATATAGTATAGTTAAGTACTAGAGCTTTTGCATTTTGTGTTTTTCCTTTGTCTTGAGTTAACATTCTGAAATAATTTTACGTAACTTGTATAATTCATATTTTTATCATATTCTTTTAATTAATATGACCAAGATTTAGGATATAGAAAAGTTGTTTGTGATGATTGAATCTGTTCAAAGATGCCTCATGTTTGCAAAGTTTTGTATCAGTTAGTGTTATGAAACCTAATGTTATGGTACTTCATGCTAACATTAATGATTGCTAAGCTTTGCTGATACAACAGTATGTCTGCTAATTTGGCTCAATTGTTTAAAATGCTGGACATTTCAAAAGTAAGAATTTAGGATGCTCTTTTATATGCAGACTACTGCACAATGTCTATTAAATCAGTTCAATGTCCTAAATGTGGAAACTTCCAAAGTTAAAAGAATAAGTATGTTTCTTTATACACACACACACACAAGCACTTACATTTTATTCTAATTGAGTTAAAATGTTTAAGGTATGAGAACTTCCAAAGTTAAAAAAAATTAGTATGTTTCTTTACATGCAGATAACTGTTAAAATGTATCAAGTCAGATATTTAAGGTATGGACTTTTCAGTACTAAAAGTTTTTGTTTTTTTGTTAAATTTTGCAAAATGCTATAGGATGGTTACCTGTACAAGCCATGCTCTAATTTTAAAGTGATAGACTAGATGGAAGGTAGCCAGTCAACACTGACAACTCTTGGGGTGCTTTTGTGAGACTGAATAGTGGAATTTGACTGTCACTCTTATAACACAAAGCACAATTCTTTATTAAGCATAATGGGACATGAACCACAGATCTACAGTCCAGCACACCAATCACTAGACTACTTTTGTTTGTGCATACAGACAACTGTTTAGCCCTACTTTTGTTTGTATGCACACAGACATTCTCAGTATTCATGATATTGCAACTTTCAAGGCACAAGAAATTTATTTATTTCCTTATATGCAGACAACCATGCAGATGTAGAAACTTTCAAAACTAAAGAAACAATATGATTTTTTTTCTTTTACTTGCAGACAACCACACATGTCTACCAAGTCAGTTTAAATGCCCAAGGTATGGGAACTTTTCTTCACAGTGTATCAATCTTTCTCAACGATGTAATGGAGAAAAGGATTGTCATGGTGGTGAAGATGAAGATGATTGTCGTAAGTTGATTATGACTGAAGCAGTTTCACTGTTTCAATTTCTTTTCACATTGTACTAAATTGTATCTATAAATATTTTAAATATATGCTTCATAAATACTGAAGAGAAAATTTAATGTTCTGAATTTAATTTCTTCTTTTATTTTTTTAGCACCAAAAACTTGTTTAGCCAATCAGTTCCAGTGTAACAATTCCCGCTGTGTACCACAAGTGTATGTTTGTGATGGAGACAATGACTGTCACGATATGTCTGATGAACCTGCTTCATGTGGTATGTATGATGTTTGGAATCAATAACATGGACATGTTATTGTTATGTTCATGTGCTAGTCATATTTGTTCTTGTAACACTTTTATTCAGATAAGAGGTATGTCATGGAAGATTTGAGATTAAAACCATTTTTTATGCTCAAAATAGATTTTATTTTCCACCAAGTGCTGTTTAAAATTGTATTTCTAAACCGAACCTAAAACAACAATAATTGTGTTCCATTCTACCTCCCCACCCCTAAAAAGATATTAAGATTTGTGTGGATTTTTTTTCTCTCTCTCTCTCTTAGAGAAGAAGAAAAAATTGCTTTTTGCTGTATTCATCTAAAGTACCTGGGCACGTGTTCAAAAAACCAGAGTACTTCACCTAGCAGTTAAGCTTTTACATGTGCTTAATCATTTGTTCTCTTGGTGGAATTTGCCTAGAAAGATGTGCACACTAAATAGACATAAGCACATGATGTAGAGAAGTGATATAGTAACTTGGAACAGAAAATATAATGTTTTTTTAAACAACTTGATTGTTAAAACATTTCTTTTTTTGATAGGAGTATTTGTGAAGAACATAAAAGGTACATTAAAATTCCTTGACAGTGTTTTGTTGAAATCTAAGGATATTTTTCATCACTAACTCTTAAATCTAATTAACAAAGGATTCGAAACAGGAGCAAAAAACATGTATGCCTACGTACTTTATGCTTTAAAAAAAAAGTCCCAAAACCTGATAATTTTTTTCTTGTGTGGCCATAAGATGAATAAATCAAATAAAATAAAATTTGATTTCTTAGCATAGTTTTACTTGTACTCTTGTTTCTGACAGAGGTTCGGGTTTGTCCAGAAAATTACTTTAGATGTAATTCTGGCCGCTGTATTCCTCTCTCCTGGAAATGTGATGGTGACAATGACTGCACTGACCATGAGGATGAACCTCCCTCCTGCTCAAAAACATGTACCTCTCTAAACTATTTCAAGTGCAAGAACAATCGTTGTATTCCCACAAATTGGCGGTGTGACTTGGATGATGACTGTGGTGACTTTTCAGATGAAGAAAACTGTCGTATGTTTCTTTCTGTAACCCTTGGACAATTTTTGTTTATGTATTGGTCTTTTGTTTGTAATAACATTGATGAAAAATATAAGTATAATTTTTTCTTTTTAATATGGTAATTGTGTGTAATTGATAAAGCCAACATTTCAAAATAATATTATTAAAAGTATCAAGAAAACTAGCTCACTTCAAACCAGTAAAGAAGAAAAAACGAGGTGGCATTAACTATGGAAAACATAGTGAGTGAGCTTTGAATCATTTATTTAACTCTCTCAACATGGGCTCAGTCAAATTAACTGACCACATGACCTCTTTGTACTCATTTAGAGTCTTTATAGTTTTGATGCTACTAACTTTCAATATAGTGTGTATATTTTCACAAAATTTGGCAGACTTTCACTAAACATTATTAGTCTTCATATTTTAGTGAAGTATTTTTAATAACTAAAAAAAAGATTTGTCCGTGAATACATGAAGTATTTTTCTTACTAGTCCGCACCCAAAGTGATTTTCAAATTAAGAATACTAATACTTTTCTTCATCTCAAAAATCTAAAATTTCATTTGCGCAATCTCCAAAACCTCCTAAATACATTTGAAATGTTTGTTTTCAGTAAAACTTTATATTTTATCTGTTATTTTCTGTTGGTCAATTTAACTGACCTTGTAACCACCCAAAAAAAATACAAAATCTAAATATATCTAAATTACCCTTTTTTTTTCTTTCTAGAATGACTTCAAATTGTAACATGAAACTACATTTGTTTTTCCTAAGTAGCTTTAAACTCTTAACAGTATACATCTATTTATAATTAAATTTTATTGTTTTATTGCCCTTTGGTTGCCATTTGAACCATGCCTAACTAGTACTATTCATTCCATTATAATTTGTAAATCACTCGTGAAACATTTTTATTATATTATTATATATTTTACCTAATCTAACCTTAACTAACCTAAAGAGATCTCTGTTTTTACATTTTAATTACTTTTATAATAATAAATGAAAAACAAGAAATAGAGTACATACCCAGGGTCTTCTATTTTTTTGCTTCCAACTGTCGGTGACACTTAACCCAACTTTTCTTTATACTAATGGTATTAATGCAATAAATAATTTTTGTTTAATTAAATAATGCATCAAAGAAAATAGAATAATAACATGCAAATAGCAGACATTTCCCCTACCTATCACAGTTTTTCTGGCTTTCTAGCTATGCAACAAGAGCTGTCACATTTCATTCAAGCTAATTGTTATCTTTCCTATGGAAATGAAGCTTGTACTAACAGAGAAAATGACAATTCTTTGTTCAGAAAACAACAAAGTATAATACCTCATTTCATAGATGAAAACTTTGGCTTTCTATTGGTTATACATAATATAGTATTAAGAGTAATACAGATCTATTAACAAATCCTGAAAGAGAGGATGTGACAGGTGGGTGTTGCAAGAGGGGTCTGATTTTCTATTTGATGGATCTATAACTAAACACATTTGAAGGCTATAAAATTATTGGTTTGTCTGAGCAAAGATGATTTTATAGTGAGTAATTTACATTAAATTACGTACTTATTGGAGGGGTGGTGAATAAAATAGAAGATAAGATGCCTAGAGAAAAAGTGTCACATTTCTCATGAAGGGGAAATTCGGGATTTTTTTTAATATTGCCTTATAAAATTAAGAATTTTAAAACTTATATATTATTAAAATATGGATTATTAGCTACAATTTTATGCTATACCAATTGGTATAACATAAGCAGAGAGTAGTTTAATTAAATTTTGAATATAAGTCACTAAAATCTTGTGACATGCGCAGTAAATAATACCCAGGCAGAGAGGGTTAATTTTGGTAAAATACCATATATATGATGATCATAATGGGTTATATTACCAGTTCATTTTGTTTAATAAGATACTTGTGCTGTTGCTGTTCTAATTTAATAATAAATAATTAATGATTTTGTTTAAATGAAACACAAATTCATAGCAATGATGCCTAATTCACATATTCCAAAATACTCCTTTTTTTTTCTGTCACATTCTATTTTCTAACCTTATTCTAGACCAGTGTTTCCCAACCAGTTTGTCTAACCTTATTCTAGACCACTGTACCTCAACCAACTTTATCTTGTCAGTTTCACTATGACTAATAAAAATGTGTGTGGCACATTATGAAAACTCGCCCAACACACCACTCTTTACCACATAATGTCATTAGAGCATAATGTGACATAACATCCACTCACGTACATCAAAAGTGCAACAAGACAGAATACACTTTGATTCCATCCACAAAATTAATCTGTATATCAATACTTTTCATTTATTTATTTTTTGCATGTGTGCCTTTTCAAAATTCTGTGGCATACCTGTTCATGTCTGAAGACACACAGGTTGGGAAACACTGTTCTAGACATTGAGGTAAACTTGGATGTCTAATGCTAAAATACTTGTATAGTTCTTTAAAATCATACAGTAAGTTTGAGGCAGTTGAATATCATTTGTTATTGTGATTAATAGCCAAAACCATCATCTAAGTAATTATTAATTAGTTACATTTTTTTAATACTTGATACTAAATAGTTTATATCCTGCCTTTTGACCAGTAACTGCTGTTTTCAGAGAGGTCCTGAAAAGGACTACTTTTGTGGTGATAGGTGCCAGGGTTTAATTCTGGGTGTTGTTGTTAGTGAGGTTCGTGTCTTATCCACTTCTCCACTGTTTTTGTCATTTTAGATACTGAAAGTAATTAGTAACTAATTAGTGATAAGATTTAAGTGATTGTATAGGTTATCAACCATTAGTTGTTTGTTCTCTGATATTTTATGTGATCAGAAAAACTTTTCTAGCACATCTCACTTCTATATTTAAAGTAAAAAATATGCTCTATGTGTGTGATTTACAGCACCAAGAGAATGCTCTGAAGAGGAATTTCAATGTAATGATGGTCGCTGTTTCGATGTATCAAAGCAGTGTGATGGAGAAGTAGATTGTTTGGATAGCAGTGATGAGGCCAACTGTAGTAAGTGTGGTTAAAACAAGTTAAGTTTAGGATAGAAGTTATTAAGTTTAGTTCTGTTATTTCTCCCAGAAAGTATAAATGATATATAGCTGATTTATTAGAAATATAAAAAAAAAAAAAAGATTTGACAATAAATAGCTTTTATTCTAATAAGTAATTTAATGAAAAATCAGAATGACATATTTAAAAAGTGAGTATAGTTTTGTTTATGCACCCAGAATAGTTGAAAAAAAATATATTTCTTCCCTTTTGCTAAAACATGTAAACACTTAAGCAAAATAAACTTTATTATTTTAGGTATTATGTCTAAACGTTACTATGTACAGCATACTTTATTCCTCTAGGTATTTATATGTAAAGGTTATTAAGCATGCATTATGACTCTAAATATTATTCCAGATGTCACATGTTAATACACTTGAGTAAGGACTACTTTTGTTATTTAGGTAACACACATAAATACTTATAAGTAAAACTTTATTTTATGTATCGCATGTAAACATTGGAAAGTAAGTCTTTATTAGCAATCATATGTAACATTGTCAAGTAAATTATACTTATGTTATTTTAGGTATTACATGTAAACACTTATGAGTAAATTACACTTTTGTTATCTGAGGTATCACCTAAAGTAAATTCTGTTTTTAATATATTAGGTATCACTTGTAAAAACTTCTAAGGAAATTACACTTTTAATTATTTTAGGTATCACATCAGGCCTGAAGTTTTTTTTGTCTGTCAACTATAGGACGAGTAGACCTAAAGTTTCACTTCTGCATTTTTCAATTATTTATGGTATTATAAATGATAATATTGTAAATACTATGAAAAAGCAGGACAAGTAATTCAGCAAAGTACTAAGAAACTGGCTAAAATAACGTGTATTAACAGAGAACAAAATTTTAGTTTTTCTTAACTTTGAGCAGTTCAGTCTAGCCTTTAAATTCAACAATATTTCACCATGTACATTTTTTTTCTTATCTTAGTCTTTACAGAGCAAAGTTTTTGACTTAGAGTTATGCATATCCTCATCTTAATGGTATTAAGTTGGCTCAATCCTCTTTCACATTCTGCCATTGATAAAGAAATTGTCAACATAATGTTTACTAGGGGCAAAATATGTTAAATGCTCAGAATCCTCATTGACCAAGATGATTTCATATTGTAACAGTTTCTTGAGATTTCTGGTGATGTACATTTTCAAGTCTAATAACTTACAAGGCATATTTCTTTTCTTCTTCTGATAACTGTGGGCAGTATAGTCAACAGTTTCTCAATTTCTCATTTCCATAGCATCTGAACTCTTCAGGACTGTTGTGGCCTCTGAATTATTTATTACTATTATCTTTACTTGAACAAAGGTGAAAATTGAATATGTTGAACAGAGAGTGCGGTTCATATCCAAGGCATTTTATGAATCTGTGTTTCAGGTAGAATTCAGCTGAGGACAATAGCTTATTATTGTCACCATTTATTTGCTCTGTTGCATCATGGTGACTTCACTTTCATCCCTCTAAATTCACCATTTTTAGTTTCACTCAGAAATTTTCTCAACATTTGCCTCACCTTCTTCTCATGTTGACATATTTTTTCTCTAATTCATTCATCCTCTTTCCTACTTTAGAAATTAGACTTTTCTTTCGTTGAAAAAGGGCTGAAACCTCAGACAACAGATTTGTCTAGTCTCTCATGAAATGTAAGAAGGTTAGAAAAATCTCTGTTTTCAACTCATTTGTGTAGATCCTTGCTTTGTCACCTTTATCTGTGGTAGCTATAAAGTTCTCTCCTGCCTTTTTATGAGTAATGATACAACTTGAATTTGCCTTTCAAGACATTCTTAGGTTCATCAAGATACCCAATTTTTTTTTTTAGCATTAAAAACTGCTAGTTCTAGTTTGTGTGCATTGCAATGAACTACTACAATATAATTGTCATCTTTCTTATTTTCTTCTGAATTTTCATTTATTGTATCCAAAAGTAATTTCACAACACCTGGCAATTTCCCAAGATTCACAGCCACCCCATCTGTATTAATTCTGACAAAGTTTTCATTAAGCCTTTCTGGTGTAACTCCCAAACATTGAAGCTCTTTCAGAATTCCCTCTTTTACTCTATCTGCATTTCCATGATCAAATGCCACTATATTAGCTAGTTTGGTTTTCAGTTTTCTATTTCATCCCATGTAGAGTACATAAACTAACTCTTGTTCAATCATTCCTTTGTCTGTTGATCCATCTGTGAGGATACTAATATATCTGGCCTTTCTTAAATCTTCTATTGTTTCATCTTTCAAAACCTCTGATGTGCTTATACAAAAATCTTTGCATGTCATTCAAATAGTTTGTACCTACTTCAACACCATTTTTGCTCTTTAGAGGTAATAATTTTGAAAACTTTCTGAATGATTCATTTCTTGTTGCTACATAATAAGCTGTGTTAAACAGATTTTTATATACAAAACTTTTATTTATCCATACTTTTACACTTTTTGTAAGCTGTGTTTCTTTGTGTTTGTCTAAAAAGATGAACATTTCTACATTCAATACATTTGGTTGTTTGGCTCTCTTATTGTGATATATTTCTACTTTTTTTTTCTGCATTTTGCACTGATGTCTTTAACTAGGGCTAAGTCTCTATCTGAAAGTTCTGGAAATTGTCTACAAGTTTACAAGAACAACTCATCACTCTCAACTTTTGCCAAAGGAAATTCTTCTAACCAGCTATCCTTTTTATATTCATCACTCATTTTTCTGGTTAAGTTTTCTTTTTTCAACTTTAGTCCTTTGGTTTTTCTTTCTGTTCAATATTACCACCACCCTCCAAGTATTTTCAAATGTTAAACATTTTTACGGCAGCCAAAGTGTGACAGTTTTCATCGATTTTATCGCTGCATACAGCATTACCAAGGGTAGCTGATGTGCATTTGCATACTGCAATGACTTGCTCATGAGAAAAAGTATCCAGTTTCGTTTTGAAGTTATAAATTATTTTTTCTTGCAGTTTAAAATTTTTATTCTCATTGTTCACCAAGTTTACTTGAGCACATATTCTTATGCTAAATTTGTATATTTCATCTGGAAAAATGCACTTTTTCTGTCAAATGATCGACCAACAATTTTAGCTCATCCTACATCAAAAAGCACTTATAAAAACCAGCATATGAGTGTAATTTTTGAGACCTGCATATGTAAACACTGCTAAGTAAAGTCTTTGCTATTTGAGGTATTGCATATTAACACTGCTAATTAAAGTCTGTTATTTTAGATATTACATGAAGTAAAGTCTACTGTTATTTTAGGTATCTATCACATATAAACTGCTAAGTAAAGTCTTCTTTTTTACCTTAGGTAATAAAAAAAATGAAGTCTTATTTTTTCACTAGGTATTGCTAAGTAGAAAAGTCTGTTTCTTCAAACAAACTATTACATATAAAAATTGTTAATTAAAATGTCATTTTACACTAGTTTACACATGGTCTCTTGTTTTATTTTATTATAGATAGTACATGTAGTCCAACAGAGTTTCGTTGCAATATAAACAACTTCTGTATACTGGGTAGCTGGCAGTGTGATGGGGACATTGACTGTTTTGATGGTTCAGATGAGGAAAACTGTGGTAATTAGATTTTATTTTACATTGTGTTATTTTGACAATATTATGCATAAGTGTTACTGGTAATGTTTAGGTTTGAAACAAAAAATTCTTAGTGATAAATATTATATAATGGTTTGCTTATATTGTTAAAGAATGTTACACTTTAACCATCCAGACCATAAAGTGAAATTTCTAAACCTGTAAAAATAGCTTTAAGCATTAGAATTACCAAAATTATCATTGCCTTGTATAAGTATCAGATAGTTAACATACTAACCATACATGTCATTATCCATAATATGTACCAAGTGATTAACATATTAAACAGAATTACCACTGTCCAGAATAAGTTCAAGGTAATTAAAATACTGTCCAGAAACATCACAACCAAGAGTAAAAAATACCAGGTAATTAAAATGCTAACTAGGTGCATCACTGCCCAGAATTTGGTATTCCCAGGGCCATTGTTGCACACTGTTATCTGATTCTCACAATAACTGGAGATTCAAGGATATAGTATGTGAAAGGATGGATTTTAGTGATTTTATAATGGTGGAATGAAAAATAAAAAATGATAATGGCTAACCAGCTAGTGGGGAATTATATCATTGTGATGAAATGAAATGTAAAATCAACTTTGGAAATACAATGAGCTAAAACGTGAAGCAACTGAAAGAAAACTGTCTATCGATAAGAAGAGAAATTAAAATAAGCTGTCCTGGATTGAGGATAACAGATGACCAACAACTTAAATTGAATGGTGAAGTGAGAATAAGACTTCAACTACAAGTCTTGCTCTTCCAAGTCAAAAGTTAATCTGTTTAAAAATGCAAAGACTGCATTTGAAATTCACCCTACCTTTGTCAAACAGAAAATTGGATCATGAGAATCTGGAAATATCTGTACTTCACATGAAATTCTTAGAGAAATCCAACATATAAAATGTTAGATAAGACACAATACAACTATTTCATGAAACTGTTAGCAGTTTCTATATTTTGACCATGCTACACAAAGTAATAACTAAGTAGAATTTAGCAAATTATCTTGACTGGATTTAGTATGTTCAAAATTACAATATTATAAAAATTTTAAGTTTTTATAGAGTATACATTATAGGAAAGTGAGATACTTTATTTTCTTACCATAATGAATACTATTTAATTAAGATGCCAGACAGACACACCACTACCCTAAGTGAATACTAACTAGGCATATCATTCCTGAGAAAAAATGACAAACAGTTAAAAAAAATACTGATCATTCACATCTATTTGTAGAATAAATATAGAAAAGGACACATCACAGTTCAGGACACACATCTACATTTTAACTAGATACATTATTTCCTAATATATATTCAAGGTATATAGATGTAGCATTACCCAAAATAACTCTTAGATTTATATGATACTAGCTAGACATATCTCTACCTGTTTATAGAATTCTAACTAGTCACATTACTGACCGAGATACATACCAGATATCTACAATCCACTAACTAAAACATATACTTGGTAACTAGGGCATGGACCAGGGAGTTCTATGTTTTGACCTTTTGTAAATCACTCAGAATCAAACTGCATAAAACTTGATAGGAGCTTTCTAAAGGATTTCAAATTCCCATCCCAGCAAACATGCTCGCCTTTTCAGCTGTGGGGGTGTTATAATGTTGTGGTTAATCCCACTATTCATTGGTAAAAGTAGCCCTAGAGTTGGCATTGGGTGATGATGACTAGCTGCCATCTCTCTAGTCTTGCACTGCTAAATTAGGGACGGCTAGCACAGATAGCCCTCGTGTAGCTTTGCGCGTAATTCAAAACAAACAAACAAATTCTAAAGAATATGTATTTTATAAGTAAAAAATCGTTGAATTTAGTATTTATGAAATTTTGAAAAGTACATTCTAAAGGAATTAAAATAAAATAAATTTTTCTGTCTTAAATTTGTCTTTTTGTTTTTTAATGTCATTAACTTAAAATCTGTTGAGCATCTCCAATAGTTTGTTTTCAGTTTTATTCCTATAATACCATACAAAATCTATGAAAATTGGCATAAGATCATTAGTTTACGCAGTTTAAAAAAACTAATAAAATGTGAAACATATAATTTTATTTAATTATTTTTGTTAATCAAAATGTTATATTTTCTATGTGCAATTAATTTTATATTTTACATTTAATATCCTTTTTTTTTCCACTGAAGCAGTTATGAATCCTGATACAAACAAAAACGAATTCCTTATGATCAACAAGACTTACCATTGAATGTCATTGTGCAGTGTACTATAGGCCACTGTACTGAATTTTAGTATCATACATTCAATTTAGTTCATAATATCACAACCTAACTAATGTGAATTAAACCTACATTTTTTAGATAAATTATAAACATCAGGTTGTTGCATAGCTTGAAGGTAATTTTCATCAAATAATTTTTTAATGCCAGAGTTTATCAGTGGTCTAAATGTACATCAAGCAGATGACAGACTGTTAATTAAGCAGCAAGAGATTTCAAGAACTCACTTAAAGAGCTTTGCAATTTTTTTTTATATAAAAAGATATTACTACTTTAATTGTGATTTGTTTTTTGATTTCTCCATCTGCATTAGCCAAATCACAGCTCCTCAGTACTACATGGGAGAGCAAACCAAAAATATACAGTTAGGCCTCTTATAATAGTGGAATGCAAAAAATTTTTGGGTTTTCATGTAATGTTCTTTACTCACCAATAATAAACTAAAATACTTTAGGTGTTTGAATTACTGTGACTTTTTGTTACAGGTCATCCTTGCAGACCTGAAGAATTCACTTGTAAGAATGGAAATTGCATTTTATCGCTGTGGAAGTGTGATGGTGAAAGTGATTGTGTAGATGGATCTGATGAGGATGAAACACTCTGTGGTATGTGTATCATTTAATCATGTTCTTCATCAAATAACATTGTGACATGTTTCCACCAAACTATGACTGTGAATACCAATTTTCGTTAAGGAAAAAATTATCTTTCAACCCTGAGTTCTCGAAATGTAGTTACCTTGATAAATTTCCCCCTTTCAGATCTGTAACTTTGAAAATAATATTTCAAAGTTAAAAAAAATCCACTTGAAACCTTTATTTTTTCAAATATAGTTTTCTTAATGAAATTTTCCCTTCAGAATCTGAAAATACAAATATTTCTTAGGTGAAAGCCATTTCATATAATAATTATTATATGCATTTGTTCATTATAATATAACTTTTAAAATTAGATGCTTTTAGATGGAGAAAGGCTTATCTATCCATCCTAATAATTTATTTTGTTTTTTTAAATTACTCTCAACAAGTCCTTAACTAATTATTAGTTGTGTGTGTGTGTGTGCTCATCAATTTTTAGCAGTTGTGTAATAGTTTATTTGTATTTATCAGCATTTTTATTATCTTGTTTAATATAGAAAAATAAGAACTTTTGCATCACAGAATTAATTTGTGAGAGTAACTTTTGTTTAGATAAAGTAGAAGTAGTTTATCCATAAGGTTTTAAAAATACATTTTCATTCATTAAAACTTTTGATTACTGTTTAGTCTTTATATATGTATCTAGAAGTGTACTTTGTAGTAGAAATAGTTATCAAATAATATTTGTCTGTGTCCAAAGAAACAAGGTTGTTCTGTGGTAAATGTCAAGTATAACATGCATTCTTCAGATCATAGTTTGTCATTGTTAATTGCTCTATGTATAAAGGAAAATAGATCTATTCACTTGGTAAATTTTGATTAAAGAGTAATATGCATTTTTCAGATCATTGTCTAATTCAAAGGCAATAAGACTGTTTACTTGCTAATTTGTGTTGTAACAATAGCATTTGTATTCTGGAGAAGTAATTTGTATTTATTAATTATTGACTGTTTGGAGAAAAACATTGTTGTCCATTTGGTAGATACTGTTGTAACAATATTATTTTATATTCTAAATTAGTTTGTAGTTATTAATTATCATCTGTTTCAAGGAAACATGATGGTTCACGTACTAAGTAATTTGTATTTATTAATTATTGTTTGTTTCAAGAATAGCAAGTTTATTGCTTGGTATGTGTTTTTGTAACAGTTGCATCTACATTATTGAGAGTCTTAGTAGTGATTATTGATCCTTACATTTAGAAAAATTAGATATACTGTCCTAGTAAATTCCATTGTGACCGTAACATTGAAATTCTTGAGGGTCTGGTTTGTAATTATTAATCTTTACATTTACAAAAGTTAGGTATGCTCTCCCAGTAAATTTCATTGTAGCAATAACATTAGTGTTCCTGAAAGTCTGGTAATTATTATTGTGTGTAGAAAAACAAGCCTGTCCACCTGGTAAATTCCGTTGTAAGAATAACATCTGTATTCTTGAGAGTCTAGTTTGTAATGAGGAAGACAACTGTGGAGACAACTCTGATGAAGATGAAAAACTCTGTAAGTGTCATGTTGTTAAGATGTTGGAAAAGTTACAGTGGCATAAACAAAAAAAAACCTTTTTAAGAGTTAGAGTAAACAGAAAAATGATTAAATGAAATAACTTTAATCAATTTTAACCATATTTTAGTCCTACATAAATGTCTGTATGTACATTCAAGCACTATACTTTTCCAAATCATAATTAAAATATGAAACTACTTAAAGTTACACCATTAAAAGTGCTGAAGAATATAAAACAACAAAACATTTTAAAACAGATGTGAACCATGCATGTGCAGAACCTTATAAAACATAAGTGTATGCCATGTTTTATATCATTGGCTAGCAACTTCTCTCATTTAAAGCATGTATTTTTTATAATGTGATTTAAATGAAGTTCTTTGCTATATATTATCTTCTATAAACTCTGCTAGTATTCCTAGAATCTACTTAAAAAATTAATAGTAGTTTTTAATAAAAGTTTTTAAGAAGTGAAAATTGTCAGTGACCACAGTAGGTCCCATATAATATAAAATATAAATACCAAACTAAACACGAGCCACCAAGGAAAATTGATAATATAAAAAGTGTTACAAATAGTATGTATAGTCATGTGGCTTATCTTGATTTATGTATATATGGCAAGAATTTTGGAAGTAAAATTTCTCAGAGAAAATATGCTTATTACACAATTACAAGTACACATGTGCTCAACAGTAAATTGTCTGCTTTGAGAGAGTTGTAGTAAAGTAGTATACGTCTACAGGTGCTCGCAGGAACCCATGTGGCTCAAAGAAATTCACTTGTGATAATGGCCATTGCATCGGACTGAGCCTAAAATGTGATGGTTCTGACAACTGTGGAGATAACTCAGATGAAAAAGACTGTGGTAGGTTGTTCTGCTTTTAACTCTTGAGCTACAGAAATACTTTATTAGGCATTCAATTTTAATAAGAATTACTTTTTATTCCTTTATTCCCTTAAAGTGACTTAGTGTTGTGATCTTCACTGAAAACAGAACTCAGTATAATATTTAAAATTTTCTAATAATCATACACTGTCATCTTCATGATAATAAAGTTATGAGCAAGATTATTTATTAAACTCGCTGTTTCTCTATTTGAGTAGTGCACAGTTTAGGGTAAGCTTTGTTCATCTTAAAAATCCTTTGATAAAAAATAAAATTTCCTTTCATTTTGTTCATATTGTGTATTGTTAATATTATGGAAAATATGAATAGAAAAAAATGAAACAAAGAGTTGATTTGTTATAATTATTAAGCTTGTTTAGAATGTTCTCAGATGATCATCCATTTAGTGAGATATAAGTGTAAAAAAAGACAACCAAGAAATATTGAGCACTTTTGAATTGTTCCCTTATCTTAATTAGAAAATTAGCGAATAAGATGCTACTCTTTGAAAGTGCCCAAACATTTTTCAGTTTATTTAATGTACTGCTATCAGGTGATCATATTTATACACATTTGAAATTTTGTATTTTTATTAATGTTTTGTCAGTTAGTAATCTGTATTAATATGTACAGTTTTGGTAATTCAAATATTACTTAATACTTTATTAGGTGGTAAACTGTATAATTTCTAAATTACACAGTTTACTAAATATGTATCAAGCAGGAATTTTTACATTGCAACATTTCACTTTTTCAAGTAGTTAAAATTACCACTATATAATGACAAATTTTCCTAAGTACTGAATCAGACTATTATATTGTGAAGTAATGAACCACATAGAGCAGTGGTACATTGGTTGTTATATTTAATTTTCTTGCTCTTCATGTATAAGATTTAGCTATTAATTATCTCCTAAGTTAAATGAAATGTGTACAAGTTGAAGTGAAAATTGATAATAATTCTTACAGATCCATGTAGTTTTGGCACTTGTTCCCAAATTTGTGCAGTTAAAAAGTCAGGAAATTCTAGCTGTTCTTGTGCTGAAGGTTTTTATCGTGTTGAAGGAAATGATGATGGCTGTCGTGCGGAAGGTCAGGAATATCTGTTATTTTTATACAACAAATACGTTAAAAATGGATGTTGATAGTCATGAGTTTGAAGGTGTTTAAAGTTTTGTTAATAATGATTTAAACATGTGAGATTGTACTAATCACACACTAGAGGAACATAAATAGTAAATTTTGTTATTCACACATCAGTAGAATATAAGTATTACATTTAGTTTTGTAACAATGGAATATAGACATTAGACTTTTTTTTTCTTTATTACAAAAGAAATAGTTATTGAGTATTTAGTATTACTGAGAGCATCAAGTAATTAGAAAAAAAAAGCTCATTTAAACAGTGAAGCTGGATACGAAAAGGAAATTAGATTTTTGAATTTTGTTGGTAGGTGATCCACCTGTGTTACTGATTGGCACTGAGGGTATATTGGGATCGATTAATCCTCATAAGGTTGACGGTTTCTCTGAACTGCTGGGAGTACCTTCTACTGTTAGCCGTGTGGAATCCATTGACCTGCACTTCAAGTCAGACCAAGTGGTCTTCTACTGGACAAATACCCATAAAAAATCAATTTATAAATATATCAATCATACTACTACTACTATTAAAAGACTAAAGAGGGAAGACGAGTCTCAACCAATTACTGTGGTAGGTTGCAATGTTTTCATTATAAAAATAAAAAAAATCAAACTCCTTTTTCTGTCATTGTTTTCACTTCCATTCCTCCTTGAATCAGTACATTATCAGACATCTCGTATAGTTAATGTGCATTTTACAGTAAATGCTTAGTACCAAGATAAAGTGGAAGAAATCTCTATTGTTGTTTTTTCTTTTAATTTTTGGATTACATTGTAATCATTAAGCTGCCAACACTTAAGCCTAACATATAACTGAGTATAGTTATGTTGTTAGTTAAAATAAACTTAACCTGTTGTTGAGCATAATTGTGCTGTCAGTAGTAAAGATTATTTAGGAACTTAAGATTTGATGTGTAACCCATTACAATATCTTTAATTATTTTTGTAAGTTTTTGCTAAAGTTCATTTACTGGTATATATAAGAAAGTAATGCTTTCACAGTTTTTCCTCAAACTGTATTCCATTTCTGTTTAGCTTTCAGAGTTTTCTGAACCTCGTGGCATTGCTGTGGACTGGGTGGGTGGCTACCTGTACTTCGTTGATGCTGGCACAGACACTATATCAATGGCAACTCTAGATGGTTCTCATCTGAGAACATTGGTGACAACTGAGCTGGATCAACCTCATGACATTGTGTTGGATCCTTTACACGGGTATGAATGGAAAAAAAAATGATGAATGTTTTATTTTTTGTAATTTGGTGTTTATATAGACAAGACTTAACTTTTATGGTGTATAAGTTTTCACAAGTTAGTTTACATACCTTGCACTTGTATTGACTGTTTTGAAGTGAATTTGTTGGAGAAAAACAAAGACTTAATTGAGGACTAAGAATTTGATAAAGTATTGAAAAACAAGGGTCAGTAAGTACTCAGTATGGATATTGAAAACAGTGTAGGGTAAACTGCGTAACACAAGGGTGAAATATTTGGTGTACATGCGTAAGAGATCACGAGAAGTGCATTCCACTTATTTATTGCAGTCTCACACATTTTTATTTGCATAGTTTTAATAACAGATCTTATTAGCATGGTAGCAATATTAAGGCAGTATTCTGAATATACTGCTTTTTAGAAAACACAAAATGTGGGCCATGCACAGCCGTTTGCTGTTAACAGATTAAGAAAATGGACATGAAATCTAACCATTTGTATGGAGTCAGATCCTCCACAAACATCAGTGGACACTTTTGAGAGGTATAGCATACCACAAACCCTTGAATGTTGATCCATCCATGGTGTGAGTACCACCCAGGATGTGGCACATCAGACTTGTTACCATAGTCATCTGTGCAGTGCCCTCCATATGTTTTCTTGCACCATCTGACTCATTTGAGAGTGGAATGTGCATGTTTGTGAAATTTTAGAAACACTTGTATTGGAGTTTGCATGTTGCATTTGCTGGAAACTGGTCATTTCACACCTTATGATCATATTTATAGCTAATATTGTATCAGCTAAGCCAGTGAAGATCTCCAGGCTATAGCAGAAAACACCTTTGCACTCTCCAAAGGCTACCATGTGGTGCAGTTCAATTGCTGACTTTATGTTGGAACCATTCTTTTGTGCATAATAAACCTTATAAGAGCAGTCAGTTCATTGAACCATACTCATACCTGTGAGGCTATACATACTATAACAATGTTGTACACAAAAAAGCCTATTTTCAAAGTAATAATAAGACTTGCCTGTTAACATTCTGAATGTCAAGTTTCAAATTAAATCATTCTGCAGAGTTGTTAAATAACTTAGTTTAGATCAATAAGCTAATAAATTTACAGATTCTAATATCCTTCAGTAAATTGCTTTTCAGCATTATAGTTAATTATTATAATTCTGGATTACTAGTATTTTTATTTTTCCTTTATGTACTTATTAAGGCTTTCAGTCATGAAATATATTTTGTTGGATCTCATCAGTGACTTTTGAGAATAATGTTGTGAAATTTTTTGTTAAATATTGTGTGATTTTACTGTGTATGATCTTGGCAAGCTAACCATAACTTTATCTTCAAACTTAGTTTTACATTTTGTGTTATTTCTGTTCTCAGATATATGTATTGGACAGACTGGGGTCTTGATGCCAAGATAGAAAGAGCACAGCTTGATGGCTCAGAGAGGATTACTTTTGTGAAGAAAAATGTCCAGTGGCCTACAGGGTTAGCAATAGATTACCCTGCCAGAGTACTTTATTGGACTGACCCAAAAGCTCGCACCATTGAATCTATTCATTTAGGAACCAAACAGAGAAACTTAGTGAAAAAATTCTCAACAGGTGTGTTAGCTGGTTGTGATGTGTTTTGAATATTTGGTAACATGTTAAGATGAGATTTGCAGCTCTGATTATATGTTTATTGTAATGTTTGCCCAATATCCCAGCAAAATTAAAGTTTCCTCAGAATACTGAATGTTGTCAGCAAAAGTTAAAATTTTTTTCATTAGAAAAGAAAATTATTTTCTTAACAACATTATCAAATCACAAGATTTCATCTATAGGAATACATTCACAAATGAAATTAGACAATAGAGAATCCTAAATAGCCGTAGCACTTAAAATTAGTTTAGGCAGGATTAGAGTAAATTAACCTATGAGACCTTGAGCATGATCAAATACTTTTCTTGAAAGGGTTTGACCCTCTGAGTCCAAAACTGTAATTAGTTCTCAAATCAGTCAAGAGATTAGGGAGCTATGAGCTAAAAGTTTGTACATGAAAAAAACTGAGCCATTCTGTAAGCTGCTATGCCACAGCTAAAAATAATAATGTAGAGTTAACCTTGTATAAAAAAGTTTTCCTAACATTTAATTTCTTTGTTGGAGCCTGCAAATACTGAGAGAATATGATAGCCTTTTTTGTATCATTCCAAGTATACAGATCCTTTGACTGTTTTGCTTAGCTCAACTTCATGGTTACTGCTATTTTTCCTCTTCAAAACTGGATTAAAGCTCACACACTTAGTAGTTTTCATTTGTGTATGTCTAAAACTAAGTTGATATTTGTTTTGTAGTACTGTGTATATTTTATATACATACATACAGAATAGAATTTTTCACTGTTTATTGTGGCATTTGTTCCCTTTTTTTAGTTTCCTTGTACTGATCTTCAACTACATGATGAAGTAACTTTTTCTGTGCTATCTTTTGATGTCAACTAATATACAAGCAAAGCATTTGAACTTAAATCTTTTTCACTTTGAATACTTGCGATTGTTATGACCTCCCAGTGACATGCATGCAGCCTAAATTCTGTAAATGTTAGGGGAAAATATATATAACATTTATGAAAATATCCAATTTCTAAAACTACTTTTTTTGTTTTAATATTTCAATAAAACTGCTTAATTCATGCTCTTTTGTAGAAGAATGTGATCATGTTTTTACTTGTATGTGAAATAATTATCAGTTACATATTACCTCATCATTCATAAGTAGCTATAAAATATTTTTATGTAAATAATATCATGAACCACGATAGTGGTTTATAATAGGGATTGCAATGAATTGCACAAAATGTTAATAGAACATTTGGGCTAAAAGCACATTAAACAGTAAAGATGCAGTTCAAACAACACTTTAAAACCTTTTGCTATTGACTGCTAAGGCTGTACACATAAAAATGCACAAAAAAGCATGTGAGTCTTACAAGGAAAAGAAAATCTGCACGAAATGGCCCATTTGTAATTATTATTCTCATGCCAGCCTAACAGAAAAAGAGTTTGGTATATTGCACCCAAACCTTTTGTAGAGTTCTAAATATTGTACTGTGAAGGTTGTAGAGGTATTGAAAAGATGATTTGTTTCTTTTGTATTTTACATAAACTAAAAAACATCTTGATTCTAGAGTAAACAATGTTATTATTACCCCTTGAAATTAGCTTTCTTACAAATATCTGGTGTTCCTTTAAAAAGGTTAAATACAGGGTGTAACAAAATTACTAACCAATAATAGATAAACATTAGATTTTTGTAACTTGTAGATACTCAACTGCTTTGTACACTATACAATTGGTGTCTTTAGGGAGTCACCTCTTATATTATGTATGAAGTAAAGGAGTAAAAGAAAGCAGTACATGTAATATTAAATTTTATTACACACATTCATATAATAATTACTGTAAAAGACAGAGGTTTATTTAAAGCAATGTTTTAGACATGTATATTTTATTTGAAAAGACTGCTTTTCTACTTGCTAAAAATTTTTTACATTCTTAGTGAGGATTGTGTCTTAGTATAGGCATATATTTGCCCATTGTTATACATTATATATAGAGAGAGAGTTTAGTTACACAGAAACTATAAAAGGTCAAAATATTCTCAAACAAATCTCCAGGTGTATCTTTTTACATCTCGAACTAATATGATCAAATAGTCAATAGCTACAGTAAATCATCATGAACCATGTCAGCTAGCTACTAGCTATACTTATTATCATTACAGTGTATAAAATTAGCTACCATATCAAGTAATACTTTACTTAAATTGGGAATTTAAAAACCTGCAAATAGGGATTGTAAAAAAAGTAAGGATGTTTAGGCTGGAGATACTGCAGACATTATTTACTTAAACTACAAATCCCTATTTTGACTCCACCAAATGTAATTCTAGGTATCAGCATGGAGCTAAAATATGGGTTTGTAGTTTGAGTAAATAATGTCTACAGTATCTCCAGCCTTGTTTGCTTACTTTTTTACAATCCCTACTTGCAGGTTATAAAATTCATGATTTTTTATTTATCGTGTTATATATGTGTGAAGTGATATTTTCTTGTATTATTTCTTCTTATATATGATATAGGTTGTAATATTTCTAAATATATTGTCTAGAAAAACCATTAAAGATTGAAGTTTTTGAAGACTTCCTGTTTGTGACCACCTTACACCAAAACAGTGTGATGCGTCTCAACAAATTTGGTCGTGGAAATATCACATACCTCAAAGCATTTAGTGGGAAGATTAATGACATACTGATTTCACAAGAAAAGAAGCAAGACCCAACCTGTAAGTGTATGCGGCTATCCCATTGGCAGCTGCTTTATTTTATATATTGTCCATGCAACTTGGGTAAATGTTTTTTATATTTCTAATGAAGACTCTCTCTCTCTCTCTCTCAGTATAAAACTTAATCTTTAATTATAAGCTTCTGCATTCCAGAACTAATAAGTCTCCTGCTTTACTGTTCCAATTGAAACTCCTCCAGACTGGTAAAACTTAATCTTATCAATTTGTCAACAACTAGCGAATATGTTTCAAGAGTCTACTCTTTATGTCTGACCAATGAAAGCTTATTATTTCACATATCATTGGTGCAAGGCATTTAGACTTTTTTTGTGTTAAAAATATACAGTGTACTGAAGCATATTAATGTTATACTGAGCTTTATGGCATGCACCATATATTGCAGTGAATCTGTTCTTAGCAGTATGGTGTGTACAGCATACTACAGTATGTCTGTTCTACTGAGTTGTACAATGGATACAGTATTTTACTGTTGTTCTGAATAGTATGGTGTGTACAGCATACTACAGTATATTACTGTTCTGAACAATTTTGGTGTGTACAGTATACTGAGCCATATAATGTGTATGGTATTTAGTTATTCTGAGCAGTATGGTGTGTATAGCATACTATACTATATCTGTTGTACTGAGCTGTACTATGTGTACAGTATACTACAGTATTTTACTGTTGTTCTGAACAGCATATTTCAGTATATCTGTTGTTCTGAGCACATGGTTTTTAAATCATACTACAATATATCTGTTGTACAGTGCGTACAGGGTATTACAGTATATTACTGTTTGTATGATAAGTGTGATAATGTTTACTGTATGTAAACATTGCTCTGCTGTTATTGAGATTTATAATTGTGAAGAATATTGCAAACATAACTGCTATTCTACAGAGATTTCTAATTTGTATATTATAATACTGTGAATACTACTGTTTTTTTTTTTTACTGAAATTTGCTAATGTGTATAGTATACTGCAAAAATTATTGTTGTAATGAGATTTATTATACAGTATACTCAGAACATTGCTTTTAGTTTACTGTAATTTCTATGTAAACTATGCTGTAAATATTGCTTTTATTTTACTGAGGCTTATGATGTGTATAATACACTGTGACTGCATAAGTTTCTGTTGTGCTGAGATTTAGTTAGTGCATAAGGCTTTAAATCTTGTTCAAGTTTATAATTTGTGTTTCTCTTTCCTTCAGTGACCACTCCATGTAAGAACAACACTTGTGGACAAGGAGCTCTGTGCATGGCTAAATCTTTCAATCAAACTATTTGCTTGTGTCCTAATGGTATGGTTGAAACACAAACTTCAGAAGGAAAGATAGCCTGCACTGTTGTTCCCCCTACTCCTCAATCAGGAATAAGTAAGTTTGCCAAATAGATGTGTATAAGGTACCGTTGCAGTACAGTTTTTACAAAGAAAGAATAACTAATTCAAGTTTTGATGAAGGAACTCAGTACTTTAACAAATACTTTGCAAGTTTTTTTTTGTTTGTTTGTTTCAGCTAACCTACCTAGACCATAGAGTTTATAAGGGATACAGTGGTAACATTTAAAAATACCTAGTTATCTGTATTAAATATCTAGCAATAACCAAGTCAGCTATACAGAGCATTGAGAAAATTATATTAAAAGAATTTTGGAACCTCACCACTTTGTTACAGTGGTCATGCTCTTGACAATAGCTCTGCAGCAAACTATCCATTGTAAGGCTGTCATGTCCAAAGCACAGCACTCTTTCTTGCATGTCTTCCATTACCATCCTGGTTGTTTGCATCAAAATCTATATATACACTGTGTCAGGCAACTTGACCAGTATGTGTTCATGTGGAATAGCATGAATACCAATTTTATTTTCCAGCTGCTTGAGGTATGTGACAGTGCAATTTGTGACTTGTACAGATGGAGATCCTTCTTGATTGTGTAGCATAATGTTTATTGGAGCACGTGGATGTCTTTTGCTACTGATCTGTATTTGTGGATTCTCACCAGTTAAAAAATACCTCACTTTGTTTAACATGGCTAAGATATGACTTGTATTTCTCTTTCTAAATAGTCCTGGTGTCCCAAAGAAATCCATATTCCTTTGTTTACCAGTTCCTTTAGGTACAAAAGATATTATTGGCTTGGAACTTCTAAATCTCCTATGTGAACATATTTTTATGAAGTGAGGGTAAGAATCTTTTGTGTCAGAAAGGACTTTTTAACCTTTCCTAAATGACAAACAATATCCAAATGTAGTTTCGATAGCTGCTGTTCCACCACAATTTTATGTCAGCTGTGGTTATTGCAAGACTTTGCTGATTTATGGATTATAGATCATTTTAATAACCCTGTATTAATTATCAAGCAGTAACCGAGGTACCTGTATTAACTATCATGCTCAGATAGTTGCATTAAGCCTTGAGGGCAAAATTGAACCATAAAATTAAAAACATTAGAGTCACTCTTACACACACAATAAATTACTTCAGAGTTGAAATGTTTTCTGTAAAAAAAGTTTTATTTTTTTACATAAAACTTTAAGATCACAAATGTTAATTTTGGATTAATATCAGCACACAAAAACATCAGTAGTATATAATCCCTGTATTAAAAACTTAGCACTTACCAAGTTAACTGTATTAAATTCTTACTAGTACATTGGATCATATTGCCACTGGTATGTTAAACCATAATTACTGGTATACCTGATCGCGCTGCCACTGGCATGTTAACCATGATTACCAGTACATCTGATCATATCACCACTGATAAGTTAACCATAATTACTGGTGCATCTGATCGTATTGACACAGACAAGTTAAACCATGATTACTAGTAGATCTGATCAGATTGCCACTAGAAAGTAAACCACAATTACTAGTACATCTGATCATACAGCTGGCACATTAACTCTTTTTGAGACGGGTCACGGGTGAAATGCCATGTCATCTCGTTTATTGACTT